CTTTTAAAAGATAGTTTGTTTATTGATGTCTAATTCACAAATTTCGGTAAATTTACTGGTAGTTCTATCGGTACGCTAGAAAGTAGACCTCCTTGACCTAGGCTTTAAAATAGAACTTAACATGGGATGACACCTCAACTCTAAAGACGACCTGCGGAGGCATAAGCCCGAGTGCTCAAACCTTGGTGTTGCAACTCTCAGGGCTACAACGTGCAGGTTACAAATTAAATAATCGCAGCAGGGATTATGAATATAAAGATTTAATATAGATATCTCACACAAGCTGAAAACATTACATTACTCTATTAAGTGCATACATATAACAGAGTGAAAAAAGGAAATTTCCCCGCTTAGTTCGCATAAGAAAAAATAAGAATAATAAAAAATAGTCCAATCAGATGCGGCGCTCCTTCTGTTGACCTTCGCCGAACCGTTATGTAATCGTCTGTCTGAAGCCGCCGTCTCCAACATTCTCCCCCTCTTTGAGTTTCATATGGTGAACCCCAGTGATACAATTTTCAACATAAAATGAATGCTTTAATTTTTGGGTCACATCGTCAAACTCGGCAGGGGAATTATCCAAGAGATGCTCTATCGATGCAGAGAGTTGGAACGGAGACGAACAAACGCCGAACACCACTCTGCAGTGGTCTGTAAATCATAGGTTCTTCAAGAGTTATGGAAGAAAAAAACCTCAAATAATCCTCTGGTGTTCTGGGATAATACTCAGCTGAAGAAATGCTTTTTCTATGTCCGATGATAAAACCAACAAAATACAATCTAAACCTGTCAATTATATCAGGTATGAGTTCGAATTAAGTTCGGCCCTGTATTTAAACAATCATTTAGGGACGGTTGATTTCTCTCTCGGGCTGAAGCGTCGAAACACCGGCCCTTACCTTCATTGTCTGCCCTAGTATGCCTTTATAATAGGTGTATGGGGCAAATAATAACTCAAATTAGTTGAATTTCAGTTTCAGGAACCTTTTTTCTATTATTTTTAGGTCTTTCCATTGCTTAAAAACTAACCTTATTAGTCATCTGAACTGATTTTCCTCATTAATTCGTTGACACGTTCTTTGATGCTTTTTAAAAGTCATAGACTAGGTAGTTGTTAGGTAACAGTAATTTCAGATTTAAAGGGTAGGTAGGCAATTCATATCGGCCATCCAGAGAAGAACATTTAAATTCGCTTTAAATTGCTTAACGGTTTCAAGAGTGAGCAAGTTTACGTTTAACATCTTCAGTTGGAGTCTGTTATGCCAAAGGCATCTAAAATTCCAGAGTTCGGTTACGTACTAAGATTAGCACAATGCAACGAAACTACATTATTGCACAAATTATTTTGTAGTAATGCTGGAATAGTAGCTGAAGTAGGTTCTTTAGGTAAGCCGTTTACTTTACCAATCACAGTGTATCCGAATTTAGTCTCAACTATAGTTACACCAGAGTTCAGTTTCAGAGAACTGCCAGTAATAATTTCCCCAATGGCATCTGCTCCTAAAAGCAATTCAATGTCATATTCTTTAGCCAGACAAGGTAATATTTCTTTCTTTTAATTCTTTTAGGGTATTGGAATCAACTACTTTGGGAACACATCCACATATTTTGTTCTGAGTACTTATAAAGTTATGGTCATAAGGTACTATGGTACTTACTATGGTACTTAGTAAAGTTATGGTCATAAGTGCCCTCAAAATTTCTTAAATTAACATCAAAAACTAAATGGGAATGAGGACTTGTCTCTCTCCCCGCAAACAAACCGTGTATAAAGGTTTGTTTCGATTTAGGACGCAGTTCCAAAAACGCGATAACCTTTTCTGAAAGATAAGATTTCGGAGAACCACTGTCCAAAATCGCACGAACTGTAAGTGTCTACCCTCAAAAACTATTTTTAAAACAAGTGTTTGCAAATACACATTTTCATTAACAGTTGACTGATTAGACAACGGATTACTTGAAATAACAGTACTGTCAGTTTCATTTGGCTTTACATGTTCGCCATTTGAGCACATAATGGTATAGTGAAATCTATCACATGTTAAACATTTTACTTTATTTTTGCATGCCCGTGAACTATGTCCAACTCGTAGGCAGCGAAAACAGGCGCGCTTCTGCACCAAAAGTTTTCGTTTGTCTTCTAAAGACATTTTGCGAGCAGAAAAACATTCGGCAGAATTGTGGGATTTCTCTCAAAAAATACAACGTAAATTTCGCCTACCTGTATTGTCTTGAATATTTTACCAAGGCAGCAGCTGTAGAGGAACCCGGATCATCACAATGTGGACGCGAATGTGCAGAACGTGAAGCTCCCAACCCGGTACGAGCGAGCTTAATCATTTCCTCACTTTGCACTTCATTTCGAAGAAAGCAAAGTTTATCCAACGAACACGCACTATCTTGCTGTGACGCAGTATCTTCCATCGAGCGGCTTCTTTCCCACGCACGAAGAACAGTCTCTGGTAAACAGGACTCAACAAGTGGCTCTAAAAATTCTGCAAATTTTTCCTTAGTTCTACCGAGACTTTCAAGAGCCATAAGCTTGCTCTCAAGTAAATCATAAAGTTCAGCTAAATCTACTTTAATCCTACCAGCAGCATTTTTCATTACTATGGAAAGTAGATCCCGTACATAAATCTGAACCAAAAGTTCATCTCTTCCGAAGCGTTCTTTAAGTTGGGCGATCACCTTTGAATAGTTTTCTTTAGTTGGCGGAAAACTTGTTACGAGTCTTGACGCTTTAGAATCTGCTACCACACATTGTAAAAGATATTGAAATTTATCTTCGTCGACAATGGAGAGGTCGTTGGGAATTTTTTCAACCTGGGACCAAAAAGCAAGAAAGTCTTTCGGTTCTCCACTAAATTTCCTCAATTCAAGTTTCGGAAGCTTCAATTTCCTTTTTTGCTCGGTTGTTGTTCCTTCCGTAACCGAATTTCTCTTTTTTGCATTTTCTAACAGTGAACACACGTTATTGTTCTGCTTTCAAAAAGTCTTCGGAATATTCTTCTTGAAGGGTATCATCACTCAGCAAAAAATTCGAAACTTCTTCTTGAGTTGTTTCCAAACGTGAGAATTTGTCTTGAATCTGCCGAAACATCGTACTGACTTCATCACTTTTTAAACTTTTGTTTTCGATCTTCTGAGCTATATCGTTGCAGCATACCGTAAACGCTGTTCTCAGCGACCTTCGTTTTGCTTTCAAAACTTTTATATCCATATTTCATCAAAAATATAAAGTAGCGGACGTCAAATTTACTATGTTGCAACTCTCAGGGCTACAATGTGCAGGTTACAAATTAAATAATCTCAGCAGGGATTATTAATATAAAGATTTAATATGGATATCTCACACAAGCTGAAAACATTTCATTACTCTATTAAGTGCATACATATAACTGAGTGAAAAAAGGAAATTTCCCCGCTTAGTTCGCAGTTAAAGAAAAAATAAGAATAATAAAAAATAGTCCAATCAGATGCGGCGCTCCTTCTGTTGACCTCCGTCGAATCGTTATGTAATCGTCTGTCTGCAGCGGCCGTCAATCTTTCTAAGCCACGACTAAGGGCATGCTTTCCCCCTTTTTTTGGCTTCACTTGCCCTCCACGAGTTCTAACTTCCTTGGTTGGCTCCAATTCGACCCTCGGGGGGTGGAGAGGTAGTTTTTCCAGAGTCTGATATTCGGCTGTCAAACTAAATGGGCGCTTGACATTCTTGTGCTTTTACGATTTCAAATACCTTGTTATTAATACTTGATAAAAAACTAACAAAGTGATTTGGGCTGAAACTCTTCTTGTTTTTAAATGACCAAATGGAATGATTAAAGAAAATTTTAATAAAATAAAATAATAAAAGAAAATTTTAATAGATATGTGTGAGGAATAAATTTCAGAATGTCATTGTGACATTACAGTTTTGCTAACACAATCCATTTACTAGGATTTTACCAGTTCTCTTAATGATGTTTATTACCTAAAATTCATTTAGAAGTAAAATTTCAAATAATCGATATTAATTATTATGAGAGAAAATTTTCATCATTTAACTGTCATATTGCTATTTTGAGAACAAGTCTATTCTTTTTGTTATTTTGTGAACAACTCTATCCAGTTCACTCATTTTCTTCCTTAATAACTTAATTAATGGTTTTTCTCTTATGGAATTTTTACATTTTCGCCTTGGACGACCTTCTAACTTAGTCCAAACTCCAGTTGGTAGACTCAAATCTCACGTAAGGCGATCTCACATCTGTTTATTGGGGGTTCTTTCTTTCTTCTCGCGGGTGCAATACCGGGCATGCTCTGTGGCGGACCTTTCTAAACATTTTCAGTGATGAGGTTGCTAAATTGGCAATGTATTCGGGTATTTCTCATGGTTTCGAGTGACGATGGCTGAATGAAGAGCTATAACTGCTCAGCTATTGGCTAAAGATAATAATTATAAATCTAAAATTTAAACGTCATTAATCAATTATAAAGAAAATTTTTAAACTTTTAAATTTTGCTGTTGTTGTAGTTTTTTATGGTCTAGAAATTTAACAGAAATCAGAAATACTCTAATCCTTTTGCTTACACTAAATAACAAAACAATTTTCCGTTTTCTTTCTTAAAGCAAATTATCTGAAGTTCCTTTAATAACTCAGAAAGTTAAAGCGTTGAACCTGAAGCAGTATTTAACTAATATCCTTTTATATTTCCTGACTTTAACCCTTTAAGCGGTCAATTTTTTTACCAGAATTGCTCCCAAAAAAAGTATATTTTTTTATTGCATATAATTAAGTACCATACTTAATAGAATAAGAATAATAAGAGTTTTTAATGTTTTTTTTTCACTTTTAATGGTTTTACAACATTTTTTATTTTACAATTTTGGAAAACAAAACCCCCTAAATGTTTGCTTTTTTCAAACACATTTTGCATGCAGGAAAGAATGGTTTACAATTTCTATAAAAATTTCTCTCATACTTACTGTGAATTTTGAAGTTTATATTTTTCCAAACAGTTCAGAAGTCTTTTTGTGTATGGTATAATTTGAAGCATGGTGTAATGCAGAGTCCTACATCGCAATCAGGGCAGAAATACCTTGTTTCTTTTCGTATTCTTTTTCCATTCTCATTTCTTTTAGAACAGCACACTGCGCATTGTCTTGCAGGTCTCATTTTCTTATCTGTGGGAGCAATTATTTCCAAAAAATGTCTCTCTGTCAATCTCAGAGGATTAGGCTCCGAACCTGGTCGTCCACGTCGGAAATTTTGTCCCAAATGATATGTTTCAATTATACGGTCAACGAGATCAAGTCTAAATTCCAGTTGCGTACGTTTTCCTCCGTTTTTACGGTAGACAACATATGAGTTCCATATAGCAATATCAAAAATGTGGAAAAAAATCTTTCTGTAACATTTTTTACCCCTTTTCTTGATAATTTCAAAACTCTTCAAATTTTGGTCCATGCGGTCTACTCCTCCCATAGTATTATTATAGTCCATAACAATTTTCGGTTTTTCTTTCATATCAGAGCGGACTTGAATTTGTTCCATTTCAGTATTGTGAATTGTGGAAAGTAATGAAACTTTTTTTTTATCCATCCACTTCATCACAGTAACTTTTCCTCTCTGAAAACCTATAATCTCTCCTTTTTTCAATTTTCTTTTCTGCATTTCTTTTGGGACTTCTTTTCTCTTGAGGTTTAGTGTGCCGTATGTGTCCATTCGACATGAAACTAGTTTGTCTGCTAATTCTGGCGAAGAATAATAATTGTCTATTGTAAGATAGTATCCTTTATGAAGCAAAGGCTCCATCATTGTCAGGACAATTTGTGATGAAAAGCAAAGTTTAGAATATTCAGGTTTCAGAATTGTGTCTTTACCTGTATATATTATTATTGACCAGACATAACCAGAATTGGATTTGCACAACATAAAACATTTTACTCCAAATCTAGCTCTTTTGAGTGGAATAAATTGTTTCCATCCTAGTCGTCCTTTGAATAGCATAAGGCTCTCATCTATTGTTATATCTCGCTCTGGTGTCACCGTTTCACTAAATTTCTTATTGAGATGTTTTACAACTGGCCAAACTTTAACTAATTTTGGGCATTCATGATTTTCTTTGTCAAATGCTGCATTATCAGAAAAATGCAAGTAACGTTGCAAAAAACAGAATCGACGATTAGACATTATTTTAGAGAAAAAAGGTGTATTAGTCGAATATCTTTTGCTCCAATAATGATCAATTCCAGGTTTCTTTACAATTCCTTGAAGTATATTCAGAGCGAAAAATACATGCAACTCATTCACATTTGTCTCTTCCCAAAATTTACTCTTTGAGAATTGTTTTGCAACACTCGATTGGATGCACTATTTAGCATATTTATTTGTCTCTTCCACAATTTTACTCATGAGTGAAGAATCAATGAATGTTTCATAAAATTCTAAAACATCAGAAGTGTCGTCAAATTGTGCGTGCACAGAAGGAATACCAGTAAATTTAAATCCAGGACACGGAACAGGTGGATTTTTCACATCAACCTCGGTAAAAATCCTTGCAGAACACAAATCTTCATCAGAGCTGAGCTCACTGCATGATTCATCTGAGGAATAATCCAAATAATTAGATGAAATATCTGTATCAGAATGTAGTTCATCATCTAACAAGAAAGTATTTTCGTCGTTTATTCCATCCATAACTTCCATAAGAAAAGACAAGGTTTAAATTCACAAGCGTTGAATACATTAGAACAAAAATTTCAAAGAAAAATCCCCCCTTTCCCGCTACAAAGAAAAACCCGGATGAAAAGCATTTCAGTTACATGGACAACGCCATCTGTCGAAAGATATTAATACTAAATAGTATCTTTGCAATATTGAAAAATACGGGCAAACCAGAAAAGGAAAGGAGAAAATATCTATGCCCGTACGCCGTATGGGCAAACCGGTTGAGGCCAATTTCGGGTAGCACGTACACCGTACGGGCAAACTGCTTAAGGGGTTGTATTATAGCTTAAAATTATTGTTAACCAGACGCAATAAATTAAAAAATAATTTTAGGAATTGAGTGAATAAAAAATAATTTCCACTATTTCTTCAAACTTGTATTTAGCTGCTATACATAATGTCTTCGATTATATTCATATTAGCTGCTTGTTAGCTTCCCTCTGTAGTCCTTGTGTGCTGTCCGCACCCATTGTGCGGCAATCTTCTGTTATCGGTTTCTAACCCAGTTATCTAACCGAACACTGTACAGTCTTAACGTAGGTGATTACTGTGATGAAAAGGGAGGCTTTTGAGCGGCTTTTTCACTTTCAACTTGAAAATGAACAACATACAATTAAAGAAGTGTACACAAATGTTTCATGCAAAATATTATTTTACATTACAAAATTCGTCCTTGCCACTGCAGAGAAGCTTCAGAAAAGTTCGCACTTGTTGGAGAACTGTATGAAAATAAAAAAAAAGCAGCAGAATTTCAAACTGTTGAATACAGAAGTATATAATATAAATTATAAAGAACTGCTATTATTGATCGCATCATTACTGAAAAGCTAATCTATTTCATAAACTATACCAGGGCCCCTTAAGTAGCATTACAATATTAAAAGTTTGTTTACACTTAGAATCGTTAATTAAGAAACTATGCTGCGGGAAATTTGGCAGAAATATAAAGCAATAGGTCAGTTTTGGAATGTATCAGAATCAAGTTTGGAATGAAATTTACTTAAATATAATATTTTAAAATAATTAGTTTGAAATACGAAATTTTTATGTGTAGTTTGGAAAGCCATCAATAGATGGCGTTACGAGTTAAATTGAGCATCGTAATCCTATTTCTGCAAAAATTCCTGAAATAATTGATTTTTAAACCAGTTACAAATCATTTTTTCCCTAAATAATATTTAGAAGCGCTTTATTTCTTTTATAGTTTTCGCTAAATGTCGGGTTGTAAACAGCTGCCATCTCTAGAATACATGGATGGTCCTCATTAGTACAAAGAAGTAGCAGGGGGAAGGAAATAAGCCACGCCACGTGAGGGCAAGAAACGATTACCTCACTAAGCGAAGTGAGGTAAAACGCCAGCTGGTTTCAAGTTCTCAGTGTGTTTTCTGATTTTGTATGCGTAGATGTGAAAGGCCTAAAAGGCACTGAATTGTTACAGCGAAATAATGTCTACATTTCCGACTTCATGTCCATGTAAAAGAATGTTTTAGAACGTGCATAAACAAGTAGAATAATCGAAATGTGTGTTTCAATGGCCTTCAAGAAAGAGTTTGAGTATTTTCTTTGTGTAAAGTACACGAAGAAACATATATAGTTCTCAGATTTACCTTTTCATAATAATAATAAAACTGATATTCGTAATTAACTTATATGTGATGGCAAAACGATAAGTAAACAAGGGGAGGGGGAGTGGCTAACTCTCCATGGAAAAGAAAACAGTTTACTTTAATGTCTGATCATAATTACATTACAGGTTTTACCTTTTATGTGTTTAACTACATTTTAATTTGTATTTGTGCTCAAGTAAATATATAATAACTGGATTTGATTTTTAGTCACATTTGTTGTGTGAGTTTTAAAATAGCAACGTAAAATTTACATATTTCTGTCATTTTTTATTCAAATTAAGATTTTTTTCGAAACATAAGTAATATTTATAACATGAAAAATTTGAGAATTATATATACTTAAAATAAGCAAATTATAATCAAATTATAGTTTGAGTACATAGTTACTGTTCTGTGTTCACAATACTTTTAATGCTAGCATTTCATTAATTACAGAATACAATTACATAATGTGGAAATTATTGCGATTACATAAAGTAGAAATTATAGTAATTACATAATGTAGAAATAAAATGAAATGGCGAGAAAGGTAAAGGAAGGAGGACGTGAAGAATCTGCGATCCTTTACGACTACTAGGACAAAATTGGGTGGGTTAGAGACGTCAATCTTTCTAAGACTACCAGAAACACAAATTGGGTGTGGTTAGAGCACGTCAATCTCTCTAGGCCACGACTACTAAGGGCATGCTTTCCCCTTTTTGGCTTCACTTGGACTGCGTGCAGGGCATCCCATGTTTCTCCCCTGGAACGGAAAGAGTTAGCCTTGCTTGTATTCCGCACTTTTTTTTCAGTGAAAGTTGCCGAAGGAACTGTACCAAAAGCCAATGCCGTATGAAAGGGCATTACCTTAGAATCACTGTTAGCTCAGAAGAGGAGTACAGGTCTGTAGACCACGTCCTGAGAAATCAGGGCGCGGAATACAAGTCTTTCCATCTAAAGCAGGATCGTCCCCTCAAAGTGATCATTCGGGGTTTCCCGGTGAAAACTGAGGCAGATGATATTAAATCTGAACTCTCTCTAATGGGCTACAGCGTAATTAGTGTAACGCAATTACGCCGTTACAAATCCCGGCACCCAATGCCTCTGTTTCTCATACAACTAATCCACCATCAGTGTCTACGACATCTTCGAAGAGACTCAAATTTTCGGCATGGACATCAAGTCGAAAAACACCGTGGCCGAAAAGGAAAGGTCTCCCAATGCTGGAGATGTCAAGGGTTTTTTCCATTCCAGTGCTGTATGCACACTTCCAGTTAGATGTCTGCGATGCGCCGGACCTCACTTTGCCCGGGACTGCCCCAAGCCATTTGAGGAGCCCAACATCTGTGCAAACTGCTCAGGAGGACATGCAGCCAACTGGAACCACTGTCCAAGGAATCCAGCCAACAAGACCCAGAAACAGAGGATCCCATCTAATCCCGTTTCGAAAATCCCAGGTGCCGGGAAACAAAATTTTGTACCCGCTCCCGCTCCTACTCCATTTAGCAGCACGGCCCCCTTATTCTCATCAGTAGTAGCAAATAAGCGTACAAATCCCGGAAGAACGTCCGTTCCTGCTAGTAACACAGCAGAACCATCACCATCTCACTGCTTCCTGTGACTGTTCCTGCGCTGGAGAAACCACCGGCCCAGGTTCTAGCCCCGACTGCAGCTCCGGACGACAACTCCTGCACAGACACACTCAGGAGTGTTTTTTCAAATATCAAGGGAGTTTGGAATCGACCAGAACCTGTTGCTAGCAGCATTCCGGAAGGCCTTACCTCAACTTAAAACCGCTACTTCAGGACCGGAGAGAGCATTTTTACATCTTTGAGAAGCTACTGTGCTCTCACCTCTTAAAGCTGCCAACATTCAACGCCTCAAATAGAGACAATCTTCTCATCGGCTTCTGGAATGCGAACGGCGTTCTTCCCAAAATACATGAATTACGGGATTATATCAGTGAGCATGCTGTGGACCTCTTCCTTGTTCAGGAAACTCATCTGGTTGAGGAACGTAGCGCCAATATTCCTAATTATTACTGCTACCGCAATGATAGAGCGGCTAGTAACAGTGACGCTATTCGCGCTAGTGGTGGCACTGCTATTTATGTAAAACGCACTGTCAAACACAGTAGAATTCCAACTCCGCACATGGAGGCTCTTGAAGCAACTATTGTCCAAATTTATATTCAAAATTTACCCCCTATAGCAGTAGCGTCCTGCTATATGCCTCCAAGAAAGGGACCAAATTTTCTCCCTGATCCTTAAAAACTTAGCGGAGTCTTAAATAACATGATTATTGCAGGAGATTTTAATGCCCGCCATAGAAGTTGGGATTGCGTCACTGCCAACAACTATGGTGATAAATTAAAAAATTGGGCTCAGGGCGCCCACATCCAAATTATTGCGCCAGGAGTACCTACGCATTATCAGTTTCCTGGAGGCATAGGTGCTCCATCTATTATTGATTTGGCTCTGTTCAAAAATATACCGTTAGATCATTCGATACAAGTGATTCCGGAATTGTCAAGTGACCATTACCCGGTTCACCTTACCCTTAACTGTGTCAAAATTAATCAAAATTTACCGGCGCAAGTCACCACTAATTGGGACAATTTCCGGCATATTTTGAATTCAAAAAATCTTCCCCCCCTCAAAATTAGCAATAATCATGAAGTTGATAACTCTATTGAGCAACTCACTAGCACAATTAAAAGTGCATTTGATGCGGCCTCATTCCCTAAATTTAGACCAAATTATTCCAAACTCCCGGCCTACATTAAAGATAAAATCAAAATTAAAAACCGTCTTCGTAGAGATTGGCAAAGAACCCGAGTTGAAACTACCAGAACAC